GGAAAATCGAGTCAGACAAATAAAAAAAAACATATAAGACCGGAATTATGTTCCGGCCAAAGTGTAATCTACTACTGCCGGACTACTGAAGCGCAATTCTTTAGACATAGATGATCCTCCAGTATCCCGCGAAATTGCAGCACCAGATGGACGAAAATGACGGTGTCCCACATTACTAGCTCTTTATTTAACGCGCTCTTCGTTCTCTCCTGTTCTATATTACTTTGGAGGGGGGGGGAGACAATCCGCATCTATCAGATCTGATAAGAAAAAATGTAAATCTTTGGGTTTCAGAAACGTAAAAACGTATTCCTGAAACAAAGGAGACATTTGTTTGGCTGCGAATGTCCTCTCTATTGATACCGTCATCACTTCACTCACACAGTCTCACGCGTGCTGGCTGTTTTTCGCTTACCCCGCTTGAACTTTTACCGCTTCCTTCTCGTGCTGCAAAATTTTTCACGATGCATGGCATTTTTGCCTCCGACCGGGCAACGTCACCACGGAATCATGGCTGCCTCTCTGCCTTCTATCTCACTCCGTCCTTCCTATTTTCCTATGCAACATGTAAACATCTCGCAACGTTTCTCATTTCGCTTATCTTTGATTGTTGTTGCTGTCGACGGTCTGTGAGAATTCTTGCAGGAATTTGCTGTGCCGGAGAAGGTTTACAAGGAGGTTTTATTACAACGACGTTACAACTTTACAGCATGTTTGTTTTTTTTATCTCACTATCGTCTTTCACTATTGACAAACCAGCTTGAACTAATCGAATGTCTTATTCGATTTGAAAAAAATATCAGAAGTTTAAATAACATAAATATCTATTCACTTCAGATCTCAATTTTTTTTATATATCCAACAATAAAAATGGATGATACAACACAATTATAAAATTAATATTTAATTATTAATTGTCGGCAAGCGGCTGCATTGTTTACAATTATCTCACGACGTGCAACAGCGCAAATTCTCTCGTGGTTGTACGATCGGCCGCACGTGATATTATCAATAGCACATCGTCGTTCTTATTCAAATATCGACTTGTCTCCTACTTATATAATCCATCCTTGAACCTACGTAATAGCTCGGATTGTTATAAAGTTATTTCGATAACTTGTACGGTGTCCCGCATCGAATTTCACAACTTTTAACTTTCCTCGAAAAATCTCTTCGCTTTTGTAGTCGCGCTAACTCTGGCAAGTTGCATTACTGCGTATACTCTCACTGACCGTCCTCAGGGGAATTCCGCCCAGGGCAAAGAGATAAATCTATTTTATCTACTTATCTCTCTTTCTCTCTAGCCCTTGTCTAACTATTCTTTCGCGCCTCGCGTTCATTGTTCCATGTCCCTTAAAACCTCCCGTGAAACTCTCTCCGACGACCTTCAACGACCGTCTTTTCCATTTTCACAGACATTTCGCACAAGTTCGAGACGTCAAAGAATACACGTGTTTTCAAGTCCGAAAGAAACTAAAAGTATCGTAAGAAAGTGGAGCTATTGCAAAATTTGAACGACTCGGATTAGCCTAACATTCATTTACAACAATGTATTTACTTAGGACAGGTTTAAATAAACTGTTTTAATAAATTATTGGTTGTTGGTCGGCTCGTTTTATTGACGCTTGCATGCAAGCGGGTCTTCAACAGGCCTCGAGTTGACATCTCACACGGTAAAATGTAAAAGTATTATATATTATGCGTAACTTGAAGGTCGCGTTCAGCGTCGATTATGTATCAATCGCCAGGAGCTTATTTTCAGAATAGCGTGTGACATCATTTTAAAAATATTGCAAGACTAGTAAATAAACTCGGAATGTTTTGACAACAATAGAATTTGCAAAACTGTTACTAAATAACATTATCTCGAAAATAATTTCAAGATAAGGAAGCTAATGGACGAAACAATATTTGCTAATTGCTATCGATCGCTGTTAATGATGGAAAAGGTACATTTATAAATATCTTCATGCATTAAGAGATGCATAATCTTTTTATGACATTCCCAGCTGTGCGAGAAAACTGCAAATGGGGATAATCGCGGCGAAACGCGTAATTATGCGTATCAGATCCAGTGAAACGATACCAACTGCATATTTTCCCTTGCAACGCAACAGCCTGCCCGTATCCTAAGTCGTTTCACCTTGAAAATATTAATAACTCCCGCAAAACTGGGGACTATCATTTCGAGGCATTGGCTATCGGTTACACCCCTCTGCACTAAGTTTTTAAAGCATCATCGATAATCACAGAGTGTACGCATTTAAAAAAAATCCAAAGACGGAGTCTGAAAACCACGCGGTATGATTATCGTGTGCGCGGTATCTGGTTCAAAGATAATTTGAATCAACCGTATCAGCCTACAGTTCATAATTTATGTACACATTACTTGGAGAAATCTTAATAAAATGGAGACTGATTTCAATCTGAGATTCGAATTCAAATCCAGAGAGTGGGACACTCGGGCGAAGCCCAACATGCGTTCCGTCGGAAAATTACCTGCGATTAAGCAGAACGCGTCCACTGTGATGACTAGTCGAGCGCGTCCGACAGACAGCGTTTCGTCATCCTGGTGCGATGAGAAGAGAGGAAGTCCTTCCTAACCGAATCGCAGACACATCGCGGAAGTAACACGGACGTTTCTCGATGTTCCTGTCCTCGCACCGACAGCACCACTTCACAAAGTATCACTCCAGGATTTATCACCACCACCTTGTCACCAGATAAACACCAGACGGGTACAAAATACAATTCTGTGAGTCAACGAACCGAGATAGCCGCCTTCCTTTCGTGGAAGCACGGAAGACTTCGGTAAGCTACATCTCGCACCAGCCACGCTTCAGGAGATCCGCTCCTCGCGTGACGATTTATGTCAATTTGTCCTGAAGATGTTGCATCTCGTCACCCGAAAATCATACTGTGATCGCACCGGCACGTTTCGCTGCAAGCAAGCAGCTTCGATTCCGCCGCTGTCAGTCGATCGCCGTCGCCGCTTCGGACATATCCCTCTTTAATACAGACGCCGCGCCGGCCGGGCGTAGCTTAAAGCGTAGCGTTCCGACGGACGGAGCTTTCTTGAAAAAAAAACCACTTCGAAACAGCAACACCGCGAGTAGCGAAATCGCGATGTGACGACGGTTTCACCCCGCTTCGGAAACACCAGTCTAATCAAACAATAGCTTCCCGAACAGCGCGATCCGATTGCCGAGATTCATGCAAGGTAGATTTCAGACGATCATCGATATCACGACCGGCGTATCCGATGGATATTCGCGAAAACCGGAGTGAAACAAACTCGAATGCACAGCCGGAGACGCGGAATTGCACTTCCGGTAGTCAAGATTGTAAACGCGACACAAAGCGGCTGTACATCTACACCGCTGAACGTCCAAATTGTGACTGCGGACTTGGGGTTTGAACGACCGTAGGCTCCGCCGCGACGCCAAAGAGGGGCGACGGTGCGCCTCCTCGTACCCGAAGACACGCCCATCTGCAGCGAGCACACCTCCGCGAATGCATCGCCGCCTTTTTCCACTCGCCGCTTTTGATTGCAACATATGGCAAAGTCTGATTGAAATTTCATCGGTTTAATTAATTGTACAAAAATTTCTTGCCGAACAATATCAGCAGGATCCGCTGATAACTAGCGATATTTTTATAAGAATTTTAATTTCCGCGATTGATTTGTACGCACTTTTCTCGGACATATTACTTCAATCGATAGATAATTGATTTCTACGAAAACATTAAGAATTCTTAGCGATATAGTAATTGACACTTTGCCGACGGAACGCGTAAAATTAAAATATCGGTGTTTATTAAATTCGGTGTAAATTAGATGATCCAACTCGATCACCTCTAATAATCTACATTTAAAAAAAAATGTTCTTATCTTCCAATGTTTAATGAAAGCAGCCCGTGTCCAATCTTATCAACGTATGTGACGCACATACAAAATCATTAATATTATCATTAATGTTTCACGACATTCCATTTGATCTCCAACTGCTATTTATCTATCAAATATTATACATATTTACAGACGCATTTACAAAATAGGCAATAGAAACATATTTTGTTAAGCATCAATATTGATAAATGCCTGATCAATTTTATATCCCGTTCTTAGTTAACATTGCGTCATCAACGCTAACGATGTTTTCTTTTTCCTTTAATTACTATGTTATAAGGATAGAGAATGATGAATGACTACTAGTTTTTCTTACATCTAAAACAGAGTGTTTACTCTGTCAGAAATTCGAATATAAATATTCCTGTGTTTTATAATAAATATTTTTCATGCTCTTATAATAAATATTTTTCATGCTCTTAAGAGCGTATGCACATATTCTGCTTTTCAATCGCTCGATACAAACTTATTCAAATTCTATGAATTATCTCGCAGTCATTTATATTCATATATTTTGTATGTGCAAAATTGATATTTTATTGATCAGTACAGATGTAAGACGTATTTACATAGATATCTTTACCACCAGACTAACTCATCACAATAGATGCAACGATCCTGTAAAAACATGATAGATCGAGTTTGTATTTATCATTATTATTCCAAGACAGTGTCGCAACGAAGAATAATGAATGCATCTAAATCGTGATATTGTTATATTCTCTCTCTATCAGAATAAATATAAAAATAGATAAAATACTTAATGAAAATTCTCAATCTCATACATATCTCTGATGCGTTATATTTTCTATGAATTGCGGAGAATGGCATTATCAAAACTGATTACATTCTCGTATTACAAATTTCTACGTATTGCAAATTTCTACGTATTGCGTCATTATACAATCTTTTTGAATAATAAAGTAAAAGAAAGTACCAAGTAAAGAATCATTTTTTTCAAGTGCATTATTAACAAAAAAAATAACAGTTGAAATAATTAGAAGCTTGTATTAGAGGCGAGAATACGCGGTCTAATCTAATCTAATCTTGAACTAATTCGACGCAAACCTGATCCTTCGATCTCTTTATCGATTCTCGTTCCCAGCAGGACAGCATTTCTGGCAATTGCCTATACCGAATTGCAAGGGGGCCTGATGACTCTCGGGGTTTATGCGCGTAAAGAACGATGCGGAGAAACGATCATCCGATTACGCGAATGTCGCGTGTGCGTCAGCATGGCGCCTTCTCGTCAGCGAGGCGGTCTCGCAGGTCGAGCAGCAAGAGTCCACCCGTCGGCGAGCTCCCTCCATCCGTGCGCCACGCCTCAGGAACGACGGCATCCTTGCGCTTTTTGCGTGCACGTGCATACACACACACACGTTTACGTCCTTGCTCCGCCCCGCGAGAGCGCGATTAAATGCCATGACGCGTGCGCTGCTACCCGCAGGATTCTATGACGTGCGTTCGAGTTACTGCCGCCATACTTTCAACGATAGAAAGCACGCTCGAGACGTGGCCACAGCGGTTTGATCGCGCCACGACAACGGGCTCTTCTCTTATTCTGCTCCATGCTGTTTTGATCGCCGGTAGAATGCCAGTACCGCGCCAATCATGGTATCGACATTGATAAGAATTCGTCGCTAACGTTCGTTTTATTGCTATCTGCGCGAATACTCTTGAGTATCCTTTTAAAACGTCCTGACGCCAACTTTTCGGTAATATCTGTGAGATAATGTATCCAATGGCAATCCGAGAAAATCAAGGTATCAAGATGTTGAAACCTTACAATTTGCCATAAATTGTTGAATTTTTGCATTTATAAGCAGCAGATTCCTCAAACATTTTATCTTCGATATTTTAATATTTCTCTCATTATATAATTCGATCATTGTTAATTAAAATGTTCTAGTACATCAATACAATCAATCAGCAATATTAATATCTTAATAATATTTTGCTGTAATAGAATCGCAATTGTGTGTTGCAATTAAAGAGAAATAGGCTTTCATTCCCAGTCGAAGGATCTCTGACAGAATTCTTTATTCAATATCTAATCAAATAAATTATTGACAATAAAATACACAAGTTTCAAAAATTATTAAACTTTATTCTAAAAACAATATATTAAAGAGTTAAAATACAATATTGAAATTATAGCAAATAATTGTAACAGAGAACACATGATTTCTAGATATGGAAATGTCATAGATATGAAATGATTTCATATTGTACATAATAATAGAAATATGACAATACGGTATATTGTAATTTTTAATAATAAAAATTTAATTATATTAATTTTATTTTATAATTTATTGTATTTTATCACAAATATTACGAATAAAAAAAACAACTTTGCCGAAACCCGGGATTGAACCGGGGACATTTAGATCTTCAGTCTAACGCTCTCCCAACTGAGCTATTTCGGCTTACGAAATATCTCCTTCAATTTATTTTTCTTTGGGAACCGTTACATATGTTTGCCACGATGTTATATTAATTATACCTTGAATTTCATTATTTATCCTTTCTCTTTTCACAATCAGTGTGCATCTTCACCTTCAACAATCACACGACAAGTAAAAACTATTGATTTAGATTTGACAGATATCTAGAAAATTTAGTGTTACGCGAACCAAAGTGAAAAATGCGACGAGCTATAATAACTTGTAATCAAGTGCAGACTGAGGTGATGACAGAAGGCCGTTGGATAGAGGAAAGTCCATTACCTCATTCCAGCAAGCATATAGTATTAGTGCTTCCGGGAAATCCGGGTGTTCCACGATTCTATGGGGATTTCATTAAAACGCTCAGTTTGAGGTTAATATCGGACGTACCCGTATGGCTCATCGGACACGCTGGACATGTCCAACCACCAAAGAATCTGGACATTGCTATGCCCAGCGACGAAAAATGGACAGAATGCTACGGTTTGACAGCACAGGTTCAACACAAGGTCACTGTGTACACATCTTCACACAATTATTTCTTAATACTATTTAATAATATATTATTATATATTTGCAGGTGGAATTTATAAAAAAGTATGTTCCAGAGGATGCTCACCTACATCTTATTGGACATTCCATTGGTGCCTGGATGGTGCTCAATTTATTGAAAAACAATGATGTCAATAAAAGAATAAGAAAGTGTTATCTTTTGTTTCCCACAATAGAAAACATGGCAGATACTCCTAATGGAAGATTCTTCAATAACTTTGTAAGTTTCTGTATCTTTAACTATAATATTTATTATACATATGTACAGATAAATTACAAGTATTAATAATTATTTTTTTTTCTTAGATATTACGTATTGCACCAGCGTTGATCTTTTTATCTTGGATATTTACAACTGTGTTTCCATCATCTCTGCAAGCATTAATGATACGTATCTTTGGTCTATTTTATGGCTTTCAAGCTAAATCTGTCAAGGCAATTAAGGAAATGCTAAATCCAAAAGTCTTGCGCAGAGTAATTTATCTTGGAAGAGATGAAATGAAATCTGTGAGAGAAGTTGATCATGAAATCATGTCAAAACATGCTGACAAACTTTGGTTTTATTATGGTGCTACTGATGGCTGGACTCCAAAGAAATTCTATGAAAATATGATATCTAAACACCCTAATTTAAATGCTCAATTATGTCAACATGGTTTTCAACATGCCTTTGTGCTAAAAGATGATGTAGCTATAGGACACATTGTTGGCGATCTCATCAACGAAGATACGAAATATTGATGTTGCATTTCAAGTATTAACGCTATATTCTTTTGTTGCATTTAATTTTATATATATATAGTATATATACACAAGATTTCTATATTTTTGCATAAACAATTTAGATAAAATTTAATAATGCTATATTCTTTACTAAGTTATATTGTCATAAAAATAACAATTTAAAACTATTACTTAACAATATAAAAATAATAATGAATGACAGTAAACAATTAAGTTAAATTAACATGGATATACGGCAATTTATATCTTATATGCATTATATATTATAATGGATAAGTAAAATATCCAAAATTACACAAAAATACTTACATTATTATTATCATTATTTGTATACTTTATTGTTATTTTTGATATGGTTTTAATATGGGTTCAATATGGGTTATTGTTACAAGAGCAAAATAATATATATAGTATATTACTTATGTTATATAAAAAGTAAAAGATAATTTTGTAATAAATTGTTACAAAAATAACAATATTATTTAATTTTGGCGCCGTCAATGATGTAGCAAGCAAGCAAGCAAGCTTGCACTTGGAGCAATCAGCTGTTAAAACTTATCTTTATAATTTATTGCAACTTTATTATAGAAGTAATTATCTTATTTTCTATATAATTTGCCTTCATATTTATTGTTCATTTGTAATGTTGTAATGTTTACAAGATTCAGTAAAATTTTTCTATACATATTCTATGTTTTTTTAATTTAAAAATGTAATAATGAGCTAAAAAAATGAAGACAGAGAGAAGAAGAGGGAATTTTTAATAACAACACTGGGCAACTCGCTTATTTCGCGCACGCGCATTTATTTTGAACTTTATAGAATCATCGAGAGAAGGCGCCACTGTAAAACACTGTGGCCTATATGTATATTCGTGAGTCACGGTTTGTCACAGAGAACGTTTGAATCGACGCATGACAGTAGCACTCGAGAATCGACGAGGACGCCACTAGCGTCTTTCACAGGCACACGCGATGCCGTGGCGTCGTCGTGACGCTGAGCGTGTGTTGCGCGTATTGTCGTGTGTGCCTTTTGTTTTCGTGTCTCGCAAGTTTCAGGAGACGGTGCAGTGTTCCGATTAGGGACCGGTTGCTTAGCGTATATGTGGCTTTGCGCTTGCGCGGCGATGGAAATGCAGTGCCGACACACGTCGTGTGCAGGACTTTACGCGGGAGGACTTTTGACAGAATAAGGTTAGGAAAATAGAAATAAGGTAAGGCTTTTTTATTTATTATAATTAAAATTTATAAAATAATTAAATTATATATATATAATGTATTTTTGTACATATATATATATGCATATATAATTTATTTTTTAATACATTAAAAAAATTTTTATTACTTTAAATGAAGCTGGGTAACGGTGTCACTTTTTATATGTACGAGACACTTTACTGACGCCGTATGGCCGCACATGCGCAAACAAACCGGTCCCTAATCGGAACACTGCGGTGTGGCAGTAACCGCCTCCTCGCATTCTTCTGCAGTCTCGTCAGCCCGATGCGCTCTTCCTTGCGAGACTATAGGCCGGAGCACAGACTTTTACATAAAGCATAACGCATAAGCATAAGGAAAT